GCTAATGAGACCCAAGCGTGTTTGTCAAATGTGGCTCACCAAGCAATTCATTTCTCCTCAAAGAGGATATGAGCCGGTGACCCTTGGGGCACATAGCTCAGGGCCCCAAAAAAATGCTCCCAGGACATCCTGAGAAAGTGAGGTGTGAGGCAGAGCCAGGCTGTGACAGGCTAGCACCTCACTGCTTTTTCCTGGTCCCTGTCCCGCCCTGTCTAGCAAGGTGTCAGGGCCATTTGTCCCCAAAAAGTCCCTAAGAACATGTCAGAGGGGCAAACAAGGCTACAGTCAAAACCTGTGGGGCTCGGAAGGGACCTGATGGGCAGCAAGTACTTGAGAAAAGCAACACAGGTGCCCCTCACCCAGGAGCTGTGTCCTCTGCCAGGGTGGGTGTGTCCAGGTATTGTATGTGCTATTGACTTCCTGCCAGACGGTGGGGTGTGACGCGCTCACTTCCCCTCGGGTCTTTTATGCTTCGCTATTCCCAGTTTGTGGGAAATGAGCAGAAATGGCCGGTTACTTTGGAGTACGTTCCCAGTGTCCGAGTTCCAAGTATCTCTTGGCTGGGGGTTGGGAGTTAGCGCCACCGAGCCAAGGCTCTGTCTGGGCCTGCCTAGCGGGGATGCCCAGGCCAGGGTATCCCTCAGAATGACCTCTTCCGGCCCCTTTGTGAAGGCTAGGTCCAGCTGGATGTAGGGCACAGGAGAAGGCGGGCCTTGCTTAGAGCCCCAGAAAACTTATCAGCTGGCAGGGGAGGTGTTGGTAACGGGTCTGGCCAAGTTTGCACACACCTGCCCCCTTGTTTAGAGGCAGGAGGTCCCAAGAAGTTCCCCAGATTTCTGGGTCCCTCACCCTATCTCCTTGATGGGTCAGTCCCTAAACATGGGGAGAAAACCCTTGCAGGCCATCAGGTTATCCATCTTGTCCCCAGCTGGGAGGTGGGGCATGGACCTCTTAGCTCTGCCAGGTACCTGCTGGGCAGGGAGAACAGGCTGTGGGAATCGCCGGGGCGGCCTGCCTGTGGGAGGCAAGCTCCGGTCACCTCTGCCTACCCCCGCAGATGCCTGGATCAGTTCCCATTAGCAAAGGCTCCCAGCCTGACAGGCCACCACTTGCTGCCCTGCACCTTAGGGCACATGGCTCCCACAGGATCCAATCCTGGAAGGACGCAGGGCTTACGTTCCACTCTTCCCTCAGTGCCCCGCTGGATGAGGCATGGACCCTCGGGAATGCTGGGGGCCTCTGCAGGTTTGCACTCTGCTGCCTTTGGCCTGGGGAAGGCCTGGCGCACTCTGGGGAGAAGAATTAAAGCTGCCTTTTCAGCTCTGCTTCTGTACCCATTGCCCTGGCTAAGGCCTTTTCCTGAGTGCACTCCCTCCCCATGCTTGCCATACCTGTGTGCCATCTGTCCACTGCGGGGGGACACAGGGCAAGCACACTTGTAGGCACACAAACCGCACCTATGCTAGTGGCCCATATACCAAGTAGGCACAAGGACAAGGGGACACCCAGGCATACCTGTTCTTGGGGCAGTTCGGGACAGCCGCTGTGACCTTGGCAGCTGATCAGCTCTGGATCCTTCAGCCATGGTCACCCCTTATGATAGTGGCTAACAGCAGGCCCGCTCATGATACGACCCTAGTCCCCTGAGAACAGATTCCCACCCAACAGATCTCTGCTTCAGTTGGAGGAACAGGCAGATGGCGCCCCAGATGGAGCTACAGGGCAGCCCTGTGTGCTTGGCCTCTGTTTGCATACCCCGGAGGCCGGAGGCCGGGCTGCGACTGGTGAAGGATCAGTGTGCACCTCCCTGGATTGCCATCTTGGGACACACCTCAATTAGGTCTTTCTCTTATCCCTGCCCAGGTTTGCAGAGAGTGGAGTCAAATTAGTGTCTGGCTGTGGCTCCACAGGCCCACCAGTACCCAGCTTGTGGCTGGTTCAAAAAGGCAGCTTTGCCCATGGGGCTCCTGGCTTACCAGCAACACTCCCAGGCAGAAGCACCCTGAGTCAGGGCTGAATGCATTGTTGGTACCTCACAGCTACCCCTGAGACCGAGCAGCTGCAAGTCTTCCCAGTTCCTCCTGTCTCCACCTCCCACACCCTCTAGGTGCTCTTCCCTACCAGTCAGGCTGGCCTCCTGGCCAGGCACAGAGCTGTGCTGATTCAGGCTCAGCACACCCCCCACCCCCAGGTCCAGTGACAGCCCAAAGCTAGAGTCTCCTGGCCTCACACCAATGGAGAGGCAATATAAAGGTCCTGGTGTGAGGCCTTGGATGGTTCGAAAGAGTCAGCTGCTACAAGCCTCCTCTCTGCAAAAAGGGAGAAGTCGAGCCCCTGGATGCCAGGATCTCACAGCATCAGGCTAAACACTTCAGATATGGTCACTGTCCTAATGGCCTAGGGAGCACTTGGCCATGATGGCCCCAAGTGGCTGGCCCTCATGCGGACTCCAAGCCTGGCGGTGGAGGGCGGGCCGGTGCTGTGAACAGTGTAGAACTGGCTTTTCCAGCCCAGGCGGGGGCAGGGTTCCCTGGGCCCCACAAGGGTGACAGCAAGACCCAAGAGCAGGCAACGGACCGTGGGAAAACCAGCACCCATGGTTCCCGAAGGTGGGGCCAGGTCCTTGTGGACAGTACCAGGCGTTTGCATGGCGGTGACTCAGCATGAGCCAGCTGCCTCACCCAGACTGCACACCAGGCCAGATCCTAGGAGGGCTAGGAACCCTGCATTGAGGCATGCAGCCCTAGCCCTGCTGAGACGTACTGTTGCCCCCCCCCCCACACAGAGGGACATGGAAAAACAGAACGTGGACCACTCTGATGGCAGCCTTGGGCACTTGACAGAGGTTCAAGTGCCCCAGCTAGATCAGGCAGTGGCCTCAGACAGGTGCATGGCTCTCTGCTTGCACACCTCCTGGAGGAAGTCCTTACAGGGAGCTGTACCCAGAACCAGGCTGGGTGAAGTGATTGGAGACTCAGGAGGTGCCCTCTATGAGAAAGGGGGTTTCGCGGTGGGAAAGCCGGGAGCTGGAGCAAAGGAAGGGCAGGTCCTAGCTCCCTCCCAGCCCCAGCCCAGGCCCCTGGCCAGCGGGGGCAGCAGAGCTGAAGTGGCAGTGAGGCCACAGGTAATGCATCCTCGTGGTGTCGAAAGGCCCGTGGGAAAAGGATGTGTGGGTGGGGCAGGTGCCGCCCAACATGGCACACCCTGAGGCTCCAACTGTGTTATTCCAGGGCACCTGCCTGGCTCACCCAAAGCCCCCAAGTGGGCAGGGGGCCCAGCACGATCACTAGACAGCAAGCTCTCAGTCACCTTCTTCTTCTAGCCCTACTTGGTGGCTCAGGGACCCTAGTTCCTTTCAATTGCTCTGACACCCAGAGGTGCATACTTCCCTAGGCATATACACGCCTGCCCAGGACTCCCACCCCGGCTTGTCCTGAAATCCAAACTCATTTATCTGTGCAGGTAGCAACCAGTTGGAGGTCACGAACAGAGTCACCTGGGATTAAGTCCTAACTTTTTTGCCCTGGTTGACTCAATGGTGGCAGTCAGGTTAACAGGACTTAACTGGACCCTCACACTCACATACCACTCAGATGCCCTACGAGTCCCTTGCATATCCAGGAACAAGGTCCCTAAAAAGATCCAAAGTGGAGTTTGCTCCTGACCTACCATGGGCTTGAGGGCCACACCAGACCCTGTGGCTTTGGCAGGTGTCCCACATATTGTTATAAAATCTAGACACAGATAGGCTAAAGGACCCAAGGAAGCCTACAGCTGGTCACAGTAACCCTTTGTCCCACACCTGAGCCTGGCTGGTCAGGATGGGCAAGCCTGGCTCTTCCCTAAAGGTTCTGGGTCTGGAGGGGACCTAGACAGAGTTTCCAAGGCCTCGGGAAATGGAAGAGGCAACTCATGGCCCAGGAGAGGCCAGAAAAGTCAGGGAGGGCTCCTGAAGACCAGACAGTATGTAGAATGGAGACAGGGAAGGGGTGAGAAAACTCACAATTCCATGGGCTTGGGATTAAGATATAGCAAGGAAGTCCTAATCATGACTCAATACCCTTTTTGGTCCCCCGGGCCTGTAACAGTGACCTTAAGATTTATTTCCAAAGAGTTGATGAGGCAACTGATACAGCTGGGTGGCCAGGAGAGCCTCAGCAAAGCAGGTGAGGAGATCTCTGAAGCAGATGGGGCGGGTCTGGGGTGGGGCCCTCAGAGCTGAATCTCAAGGGGGTGGGGGAGGCGTCTAGGGCCCCTCTAAGCCTGAGCTTCCTGGGCGATGGCATGTAGAAGGTGCTTAAGGTAAGGGTTGAGGCCTAGTGGCCTGTTCCCCATGCAGTTGACCCCGGAGACCAGGAAGCTGGGACACTCAGCACCCCTCTAGGGTCAAGTCAACCATCCCCTCTATTTCTGTGGGTCTGCAGACTGCTGGTTGCTTTGCACACAGGCCAGTCACTTTCCCTTGAAGTTTAGGGCACAGGGCCTGTCCCCCATGCAGTGGCCAGGTATATGGCTTCTTCAGTCTGTCTAGATTAGCTCTCAGTTCTCCACAAGCCAGCCTTAATGCCCCAGGAGTAGGTGGAGTGACGCCTTCCTCTCTTGGGGTCCAAGACTGCACCTTGGTGGATGGCCCCACTTAGAGACCCCCATCCATTTCCTTGTAAGACGGCAACTACACAGATTAGCTGATGTCCCAAGGGGCTACAGAGTGAAAATGGGGCTCAACAGGCTGGATGGAGGCAGGAAGACCAGACAGAGGTCATGACCTCCTAGACTTCAAGGAAGAGCCCTCCTCCACTTAGTGAGGGAGAGCTGCACCCACCCATGCCCTACCGATGGTTAATCTGGGACCTTCTGTAAATAAACGTTTGACACAGGAATTAAGGGGTCCACAGGAGTGGGGGGCTGCCCCTCCCTTCTGCTACCCAGACTCCCTTCGGCTCTTCTCAGTCCCGCAGGAGTTCCTCGGCTGGACGTTGGCCCCTCTGCCCTCTGCTCACGGTTGGGCCGGGGCCTGCTGCAAGGGCCAGCAAAAACCATCCCCAACGTTCTTTTGAGGCCCCGGGGGCCCCGCCCTGGTACTGGCTGATTTCGAAATGGGCTCTTTGGCAGTGGGCTTATCTGTTCATCACTACAAAAGGTCTGCCCCACCCCCACCCACTGGTTCTCAGGCCCCTGGATCCCTAATCACCAGATCTCATGCCCAGGACTTGTTTCCCAGGGACCTTTGAGCCCTAAGAACGTCCCTAAGTTTGAGTTCCCTAGGGAGGAACCCAGAGGCACCAAGACTTCTCAGCCACGGCTCTTTGGCCTCTCCGTTGGACTGGGTGGGGGTGGGGGACAAGCCAGGCACTGAAACAGAGATCCAGCTCACAGTGGCCTTGTGGGCGCAGGTGGCTCTGTGCCCTTTAGGACAGTTCCCTCATGCCCTATCACCTTTTATTAATAGGTCATGAGGCCATCAGGAGCAAAGACTCAAGGGAACCAGGTGAGCTCCATGACCACCCACCATGGACACAGCCGGCTCTCCATAGGGTCCTAGCATCTTGATCTGCCCCCAAGACGGGGATGGGGGCGGGGTGTCGGTTCTACAAGAGGATGGCCTAGAAGCTCTGGGAAGGGGGTCAATGGGCACTGAGAACACAGAGCCAAGGGTCCCTACCTAAGAGGAAGTGTGGGCCTAGGGTGGGCAGGAGCAGGAGCTGCTGGAGCAGGACCTTGGGCACAACTAATGGACGCCTTGAACCAGCTGAGAAATCGGGCACAGGCTCCCTTCTTAGGCCTGGCCCCAGAGGCTGTGTGTGTGCGCGTGCATGCGTGCGTGCGTGCGTGCGTGCGTGCGTGCGTGCGTGCGTGCGTGCGTATGAACCTATGATCGTCCTTGAAGCTGTGCAGAGGCAGAGGTACAGGCCAATGCTCCAGCCACCCTGAGCAATGGCTTTCTGCGGCAGCCGGAAGGAGTCCCGTGTGACATGCTAAGGAAGCCCTGGCTGCACCATTTCTGTTTTAAGCAATATGACAAGATCTTCTGGGATGATTCCCACCTGGACCACATCATCACACACTTCCATGAGGTCCTAGAGAATTGTCGCCCCCCCTCCCCCCAGCCCCTGTGGGCCAAGCCAAGCCCTCGGCCCAACCAGGAGCCCCTTCTGAGGGCAAGGCAGCCAGAAACAGCCAAACAATAAACCTGAAAAACGTTTAATCTATGCGGTTCAGGCTGGAGCCTTGTATGTCTGCTCAGTCTATCCCCTCTGCCCATCCTGAGCCCCTTCACACGCCTTCAAGCTGCTAGAGACACCAAAGACAATTGGGTTTCTAGATAGCCAGGGTTCTTAGGCCCTAGGTCCAAATGTGACCCCCAAGGTCTCTGTCACCCTGGGTTAGGCAAGGGTGGCTCTCCAGGGAGAGAGAAAGGCAGCCACTCTAACCTAGTGGGAGGCTGGAGGCACCTGGCTACCGACGGACGCTGTAGACTTCTCACCCACATCATGGGTCCATCCCTAGTCACAGCTGCCTGAAAGGAGACGCTGCTGTCCCTGCTCTCTGAGGAAGCTGATGTCCCCACAACAATGGCTAGCCACCCTGGAGGGTCTGAGGATGCTGATGCCAGGGATCCTTGAGGTAGGAAAGCCAATGGGAACTAAAGGGAGGAAGGGAACCCAGAGAAAACCCAGGGTGGAGGCTCCTTCATGCAGCCAGCTTGCAATCAACACACTCGGTGCTACAGTGGCCTGCCTCCTTTCTCACTCCCCAGGAATGTGCCACCTCCACCCCCTTGCTCACATCCCTTTCCTTTCTGCTTCCTGCCTCAAGCGGAAACCAGCTCAGATTTGGCTGAAGAACCTAGCAGATGCCTCCAGGCAACAAGGTCCTGAGTGCTATTTCTGCCTGGTACGGGGAACACCGACAGACCTAGGCGTGTGGTATTAGGATCATGTCTGCTCTTGGAATTCTCCTTGGAACAGCTCACCCGGGGCTTCCCTAGAGACTGTGACATGCCACTGTCCCAAATATGCCTGGGACCTGCACCCCAGCCCATTCAGCCCCCAGAAACCTGGCTGGCATTTCATAAATGAGGAGAGCTGGGCTCAGAGATGGGCAGGGACTGGAGCCCCTCCCAGTGTCCCTCTGAGCCACCCCTAGTCCAGACCCTCCACCCAACCTGCCGGAGTCTGATCTGAGCATCAGAGTGTCCAGGGGATCAGCGTTGGCATGCCACCTCTAGACGTGAGATTCCCGGCTCTATGTCCTGTCCTGGGAAGGGTTCCTGACCACATTCTTCCCCACTCTGGGGTTACAAAGAACCATCGAGGGGGACTTGATGGCTTCCCAACTCATCTGTGTCCTGGGCAGCTGCAGGACCAAGGGTGAAATGGGAGGAGAGGCAGACCATGCCATCCATTTTGATCAGGTCAGGCCAGGTCCTGCCCTTAGGCCCCCGCCTCGGGACAGCCATGCCTACTGCCCCATGTTCCCCACTTGCTCCTGCCCCCTCCTTTCTGCCTCTAAGCACAGGGCTTACTCGCTGTGAAGCACCTCCACCCTAGGCATCGCAAGGGGTCGGAGGCTGTCGGCCTCATGCAGGTTCGGGCGCTGGCAACAAGCTCCAAACCTAGGAGGCCAATTGCAGGGTGCCTTCTTCAGCTGCAGAGAGAGACAGGTTGCCTCAAGGGCTGGGGATAGGCGCAGTGCTAACAGGGCAACTATGATATACCGAGTGTTGGCCGGCCAGGCCGAGTGGCCCGGGCAGGAGCCCTGGTCCCAGAGCAGCGCAGCGATTGTCTGCTGCAGTTCCTGCCCGGCCTCCTTCCTCTGCTCTGCCGGCTGGCTGGAGCTGAGTGTTTGTTATTTGATTCCTGTCCTCTCTCTTCTACCAGGTGTCTGGGCTGCTGGGAAGAAACACTCTCCTCTTTCCCACGCTCCCCAACACATTTTAATGAATTAGCTGGAAGCCCCGCCCCCCCCACTGCCCACTGGCCTCCCTCCCCTGCTCAGTGCCTTTAAGGTGGCTGCAGGCCTGGCCCAGCTTTGGCCAGCTGCCGCATCTCTGCTGTCCTCTTATGGCCTCTCAGACTGCCTGGACTACCCCACCTAGATGTCCCCAGCAGGGACTCCAGAATGTGGTACACGCTACCCCTCCACAACATTGCTTTCACAGCTGCCAACTGCCAAGCACCCACCTAAGGAAGAACTGGGGAGGGGCATCCGGAGGCAGAAGGGTGCCCCTGTCCACTGTTGCCTTCTAGGAATGAGCAGATGGTGGTCAGGATGCTCCTGGACCAACATTCTTAGGATCATTCAGAGAATAAAGGTCAGGGGCCAGGATCGCATCCAGAATTGGGTCTCCTTAAATCCCAAGCAAGCATCACAAAAACTGGAGCTTAATACTGGGTCACCTCAGACTTTCTGTGAGTCCCCTCCTCGCCCTCCCTTCAATAACATGGAACAAATGTTCACCTTTTGGAAAGTGTCCTCCAGCAAACACTTGGGCGGTGCTTACTAGGAACCAAATGCCCCGGGGCCTTCCCCAAGCCCATCCTCGTATGAGACAGCTACAGGAAGACATGGGTGTGGGACAGAGCACAGCCATGGTGAAGGGACTTGGGCCAGGAGGGGATCCTGTAGCCATCACCTAAGTCCCTCAGGAAGCTGGTCATAGGGCTCCCAATCAGCTGCAAGAGGTGCCAGACCAAGTCCATGTCCCTTGAGCCTGACACAGGGCAGAGGTTCCTCAGGATAGACTTTCACCACGACAGGACTGCCACACCGGCCACGCTATTCTGCCAGAACTAGCTGGGCCGTCCAGCTCTCACCAGGGCTGCCGCTGATTTCACAGCCCCTGTGGTGACGGCCTTGCGTTCCCACACTGAGCTCACACAGGGCCCCTTTGTCTGCCGCCTGCTGCGGATGTCAACAGGACTTTTCTCCCAGGCTCTGCACTGGGCAAGCATCTCAGATGCCCTTCCTCAGGCCAGGCTGAAGCCCACCTAAGCAGGGGCCCATCTGGGGACCCACTCACCTTCAAGGGACAGCCCTGGGCTTGGCGAGAGTAACAACCGCTCTGCTCACCCCAAGGTGTGGTCTCTGTCTCTTGCCTGTCCAATGCCCCCCAAGCCCTCTGCAGATGCAGGCAACCATGGGCCAACCAGGGAGAAGATCCTGCCCTCCTGACTGTTCCCAGAACTCCCTCTTTTCCATGCCCATCTTGTTCTGAGTTAGGACACAGCCAACATCAAGATACCCCAACTAAGCCTCCATCTACCTGCACGGTGGAGAGAACCTTAAGGGTTCCCCTCAAGATCTTGGAACAGCGGGGCACAAGGTGGGGACAGGGGACCCAACGGGCAGAACCCGATAGACTGGGGATCTCTGGAAGACCCAAGAGACCTCCAAGCAGCACATACAAGGGATTCAGGTTCCGAGGCTACCAGAGGGAGAATGCGGCCCTTAAACAAGTCAGCCAGGGTCAGGCCTGAAGGTAACTGGCCAAAGATGGACAGTCCCGGGAGGCATCTGCCTACTTTCTCAGGTTAGTTTAGCCATAGTTCCTCTCAGAACACAAAGTAGGGTTGGGGGCATGCCCTGAGTCTAGGGGTAGACGCATCCACCAAAAGAAGCTGCCCAGATGGAGCCTGGCAGGGTGGTCTCCTCAGCTGAGGCCTTCAGCTGCCTGCTTGGAATTCCCAGCTAGGCTTCAGCAGAAATCAAGCCCTGGCGTGCCCTGTTTCCTGCTCTGTCAAGTCTCAAGATCATTCCTCCTTAATTTTCAGCAACCACAGCGAAGCTGTAAGCTGTAAAACATAATGAGGAAATGTGGAGCCTTGCCTCCCCAGCCAGTGCCAGCACCTCCTCCTGCCTCCTGGTCAGTTGTTAAGAGTGGTCAATAAAACGTGGGGCTTACGGTTTGGAAATGAGTCATTTTCAGAACTCCCTTACAGGGCAGTGCTGTGCGCCCACCGCACTAGGCAGGTCTATGGACGTGCCAACGGGCTGAGCAGCAGCAGCAGCAGCAGCACACAACTGGAGGAGTGGTGACAGGCTGCCCACCGTAAGAGAGAGAGAGAGAGAGAGAGAGAGAGAGAGAGGGAGGGAGGGAGGGAGGGAGGGAGAGAGAGAGAGAGTGACAGCCTGTCCCAGCCTTCTGGGGTGACTTGGGCACGGAGCTCCTGTCATCAGTGTGGATGGGGCCAAACACAAGAGGAGCCCGAGCTGCCTGGGAAGTAACACTGGAGGAGAAAGGGCCAAGGTGGTGGAGGGCCACCCGTGAACGCCAGGTCCAGACCCCGGAGTGGCTGAGCGAGGAACTCGCATTTCCCGAGATCTATGAAGAAAGAGGAAAGCTGCAGGTTAATACACCCGGGGCAAGCGGACCCAGGATGGCAGCAGCACTGGAAAAACCCTGTGGTCCGTCGGCGGACCACCCCGTCTGGGGCTGGCCGAGACCAGCGCCCCCTGTCGTGTACGGCTTAGCCGCACGACCCCGCCTCCGCCCCGCCCCCACGTGGGCACGGCCCAATCGAAAGTGCCCTAGTGCGCGCGTCAAGAGCGTCCATTGTTATGCAAATATAAGGGCCGTAAAAGACGCCGGGAAGCGGCGGGCGAATTAGAACTGCTTTGCAAAGGGACGCGAGTGAAGTTCAGTGGGAGCACAGCCTAACCCCGAAGGCACCACGATTGCAAGCGTCGCGGCCTCCGGCTGCTCCAGACCCTTACGAACCAGCACCCAGCTCTGTCGCCCGCCCGCCTGGGCGTGGCTGGATGCAGCAGGGGTCCCGCGCCGGCGGCCCTCGGCCCCGAGCGCCCGGAGCGCGCAGGGGCAGCGTGCGGGGCCCGGGGGCGAAGCGCCCTCCATGCGCCGAGGCGTGCCTCGAGACACGCCCCGAGACAGCCCGGGGCCCGCATTGCAGCCGCCGCCCGCGCTGAGCCGGGGCGCGGCCCGCCGCTCTAGCTCTGCGGCAGCATGAGCCAAGCCGAGCTGTCCACCTGCTCGGCGCCGCAGACGCAGCGCATCTTCCAGGAAGCGGTGCGCAAGGGCAACACGCAGGAGCTGCAGTCGCTGCTGCAGAACATGACTAACTGCGAGTTCAACGTGAACTCGTTCGGGCCGGAGGGCCAGACAGCACTCCACCAGTCAGTCATC